TGATTTTAAATCTGCCTTCCCCATCTGCAGAGCGCTCCTGAGAAGGAAGTTGTGGGCGTTTTTACTTTCAAAAATTTGCATGGTTTCAAGTGACAATAAATCATGAAAATCATTGAAATTGTTTTTTGCACTACAGGATAACATTCAAAAAGGGTCACTATCATATTAAGCATAGATGAACTGTTGCAAGTAGGTTTGAAAGCAAAATGCTTAAGTATTGATGATCCTGGTTGCTTTCAACCTCGCAATTTTCGCGCAAATAAAAATCCACAACTTCCTTCGCAGAAGCGCTCTGCAGATGTGGAAGGCAGATTTGAAATCAGCATTTCAAGCTCTTCGTAATTTGTGCATCTTGTAATGATCGGCTACTTCGACTACGCGAACATCCCTTGTTAGTGCAGGGTGAGATGCATCTTGTAGTGATTGGCCACTTCGACTCCGCAAGCACCCCTTATAGCGATCAGCCACTTCGACTACGCGATCTTCCTTGTTAGAGTTTAACGGACTACTCTATATGTACAGATTAACATCACAAACACCCTAACTAACTGCGATTACTTCCACCCTGACTAACTAGTTCAGTCATGCGAAAGCTACACCTAAGTTACCGCAACTGGGAGAAAAATAATCAAAATTTTGAAAACTGCAAGAGTAATAGATTAAGCATACCTCCACTATCGCTGGCTGTGACATTCTGGTACATTTTCCATTGGAATTCGCCCAGATCAGGGTTTACCTGACATGTTCGAACATTTGCAGCCAGCCGAAGAACAAATGACTTATCTGGAGCCTGAACATGCCCTGTTCTTAACAAAAAAAAAAGATGCAAAGCACATCTTACTTCTTGAGAAAAAACAAATAGCAGACTTTCTGCCTTACCTCTTGACATAAGCTCTGGATAGTTTTTTGTCCTCGAGTAAATATATCACGAGGAATGCTTAGGAAGGACATTTCGGTAATACGTGGATAATCTTCTTCTTCTGCTGAAAAGTAAGAAAGGGATAAAAACCTTTGAAAGACGACAATAATGTGTTTTACACATACTTTCCATTATGAGACGATTGAGAGCGTTGGTACACATTTCCGGTTGGCTCAAGATGTTCGGGTCAAAACGTTTTTGTGACTCGTTGTAACCGGCAAACATTCCAGTGGTGGCCAAATCCATGAAAACAAGTGTGCGAATCGGTTCGGAGCAACTTAATCTAAACAAAGGATTTTTACATAGTGGTAAGGAGAAAGTAAGAACTCGAAAATAA